GTGAGGACTGCAAGTGACACAGCCGATAAATGATCATACTGGCGTTGGGCGAGTTGCGTGCAGTCACAAAAGTCGGAAACGTCTCGTTTTTCCCGCGCAGCTGCTTATTTCCGCAAAACGCGAAAAATATATCACCCCACATGCCAAAGCCATTACAGCTGTGGTGTTCGGACCCACGCCCTTTCGTACTGGCGTCTAAAGCCAGCGCCTTAGACCACTCGGCCAAACTGTCGATTGGTATTACGAGAGACACAGCCCAGAAATGATGACACACTGGCGTTGGGCAAGTTGCGTGCAGTCACAAAAGTCAGAAACGTCTCGTTTTCCCGCGCAGCTGCTTATTTCGAAACCATGGTGCTTATTTGACCACTTGGCCAAACTGTCACCGAATCACGACTAGCCGAGCCTCTTGGCATAAAGTTTGGCTTATTACGCCGGAACGACCTACTAGATGATCGAGGTTTTAGTCGATATCGTCTAGTAGTTAGGACGTCACGTTGTGGCCGTGACAACCCCGGTTCAGAACCGGGTAGCGACCATCAGCGCACGCTACGTCTTCTTGTCGATCCCAAGATTGCGCGCCCAATCAATGGCGGCTAAAGATAAAGGCTTCAATCAAGTTAGCATGATTAGCGACTTCTATGATAGTGAGCTGTGCCGAGAATTGAACTCGGGACCTCTCGCACCCTAGGCAAGAATTAGACCACTAGAGCACACAGCCGACAAATTTTCTAAAGGATCATGACGCTCGCCGTCTACTTTTGTGGATGAACAAGCCGGAACATAAATGTTACGCTTCCATGTTTTATACAGCCTCTAACTATCTACCCAGACTCAGGATCGTACTGAGGACCTCCATATCTTCAATCTGGCGCTCTCCCAACTGAGCTATCTGGGCAAACATGTGTGTAGAGGTCTTCTTCGATTGGAGAGAGTTGATCTCCGGGTTGCAGCTAGGACTCCGGCCACTAGGTCCTTCGCATCTCCAAAGAAGATTCTCTAGAGAGCGTCCTTGTAGTCAGCCCAGCGATTCGGGTTCATTACTGAGGTTTGCAAAGTGTCA